TTTATTATTATTTCTAAATCTTCCTAAATGCATTCACTTTGGTATTCGAGTAATGATCAAACTTAAACAAAGTTATGAAAATTGCATGGTATCTTCGAGTAATGATCAATCTTATACAAAGTTATGAAAATTGCATGGCCTGTGTGATCAAACTTATACAAAGTTATGAAAATTGCATGGTCTGTGGCGACTACTGCATTTATACAAAATTATGAAAATTGCATGGTCTTTGGCGACTACTGTACTTAAAATGTGTATAGATTTTTTGGGACACCCTGTATTTGATCCACGTCCACCCTAATAGCAAATCCAAGCGGATTCCATCACGGAATACTACTGGAAAATCCGGATACATATGCCGGATTTATACCGAATTTTATCGACTTTGTTACTAGGGGTGGTGAACACCGAGCAATGTTGCTGAAAATTTTGGAATTATATTTTCAAAATAAAGCGTATCGCTCTCTCTCTAACACTCACCGCAACGTAAAGTTAAACTGTAACCTTGATCTTAACCTTAACCCCCACTCCTAAAGTTAAAGCGCCTCGGTAACCACAAGCCCAAATCTTGACGTTTAACGTAATCTTGACCCTATGCCGAAAACGTAAGTCTAATCCTAAAAAGTAATCCGAGCCGTCATCTTAATCTTTAACCCAGTTTTTTCCGCAATGTCGTGCACAGCCACGCACGATGCAAGCCGTCAAGCTACATGGAGTAGACCGCGCATGCGCCTCCAGACACTGCATCAATCATTATCATTTAAATAGGCGGTTTTCAACTGCAACAGCTTCACGGTTGTGCTCCTATGAAACGTTTAAATGGGGCACCTTCTCCAACGGTTAACACTCGGATATATATTCATCAGCTATAGGTTGGTCTGTATCAGTCATGTGGCTGTTTGAATGCGCTTGCGGTCACGTCCGGTATTCCCAATAAAGTTTAATTTGCGATCAGGTATCGAAGTGGTTTTCACATGTGGACTTTCAGGACGCCTGGTTCTCTCGCTCTAAGAACGGCTTTATTTTGAAGATACCATTCCAAACTTTTAAACAAAAACGTCATCCATTCACAAGGAATAAATAAGGCACACAAACTCACAGCGCCGGGAAATCAAAAGCAATCCATAATCGTCAATGACTGCAGCTGTCGACATCTTGGGTAAATGTCTTTCGAAAATTAGTCAAATGTAGGCCAAGTTAGACAAGTAAACAAAGATGGATTAAAATCGGTTGATCATGGGCTAACCGATTTGCTCACGAATGGATGGAGGAAAAAGAGCCGCTCAATTTGAAAAGCCCGCTCAAATATATGCACAATTCGGCTGCAATCTGCTCCCGTGTTTGACAGCGCAGCGCCCCGTAGATTCAATAGCACAATTTATGCTATTTGCAGTGTCAGGGGCTTACCAGTAAATAACTTGTCTCACTGAGGACTAGTATGATGTAAGAAATCTAAGCCGTCATTTTGTTTCCCCCGTTTTCCTATTCTAGGGCCCGAAAAGTGGTCAATCTTCGCGTTTTTGAGGACTCGGAGACGGGCAAGCGTTGGAACAAATGTGTCAAGGATGTAGACGGAGAAATTCTCTGCGTCAGTCAGGTACCAATTCATTTTTATCTGTGTAACGCACGTACATGACCCGCTTTTGGCAATAATCAAAGATCAGGGCTAGGTAGGATGGGGGCTGCGGTCACTTAACTGTCGATCGCCACGCCTGAATTCAGGAATTACTACCGTTGGGGGG